TTGAACACTCGATATGCTCAGGCAGAGCCTGGGTTGTCCCTTCTGGGGTACTCCTTCCCACTCAATACCCTGTCTTCTCTCTTAGGACAAACCACGACTCTGACAAACATTAAAATTCAAGACCTGTTTCCCAGAAACACGGGCCAGTATTACACCTACAATGGCTCACTGACCACTCCTCCCTGCACAGAGAATGTCAAGTGGTTCCTGTTTCGAGACACAGTCAAGCTCTCTAAGGCCCAGGTAACACTTGTCAAAGCGTCCCTTTGGCTGTCTGGCTGGTAATGACACCTACAGAAGCCCATCAGATTCTCTGGTATTTGCCACACTCAGGCTCTGATACTGTCTTAGTTAGCATTATTATTGGTGTGATGAAACACACCAATGAAGGGTTCCTGTTGAAATGGAGAAGTGTGCCAGACACATTGTGGCCTATGGTCTGAAGATCGATGCCCCAACGTTACAGAGGAACTTTGGGTGACTGTCCAGGCAGCAAGATGTCTCTGTCAGTTCTAGAGTTTATATATTATCCTTCTTTGGTCTTTGATGGGTTTGAAGACAGATAGTTATGGTTACAGTTTTCTTCAGTTATTATAAAAGATAAGTTACCCTTCTTTTTATTTAGACAGAAAAGAGGAGATGATGGGGGTACTTCTGTGTATATGATTGTCTTATTGGTTGATAAATAAAGTACTATTGGCCAATAGGAAAACAAGTTAGGTGGGACTAGGAGTCAAGTAGTATTATGGGAAATGTAGGAGAAAGCACAGAGTCACCATGTGAGCCCGGGAAGTGAGCCTGCTTACTGCTGGTGTCCATAAGATAAGTCTTATAAAATATATAGATTTATGATAATTAAGACTGAGCTAGCAGATAAGAAATACTTGTCATTGGCCAAGCAGCTTTGAACCTAATACAAGTCTCTGTGTATTACTTGTGACCTTCATGTGCGGCGGGCTGAACTTGGGCAGATTGGCGGAAAGACTTATTGTTACAGCATGGCTTTAAGAATTCTTCTCCAGCATAACAAGGTCTTAGATTCAATCCCCAGCCCTGTGGGGAAAAAAATCCCAAAACACAAGGAATAAGTGTGAATGAGGCTATCAGAGTCAGGCTACAGAGATTCCTGATGGGGATCACCAGTCAAATAATGTCAGAGCATCTGATGGGCATAAAGAAATAAGAGATTTACGTATAGAGAGACAGGCAAAGGACAAAAAGTATGAAATTATCAACCAGACGTGGGGATAAATAAAAAAACAGGAATTTTAGGGATGAAACTGTATTGACCACAATTAGCAATTGCAGGAATGGGCTTAATAGCATGTTAGATTTAACTCAGAGACAATTAGTAATTTGGAAGACAGAGGTAGGGAAGTAGCCTAACCATGGCAGAAAGAGGAACGGAGGTGGAAATGTGCAAGGTAGCAGAGATGGAGAGCAGGGTAGAGAGCTATTGGATGTCTCACTCAGGCTCCAAGAGAGGCTCAGCCAGGGTGGGGTGAATGGCTGGAGTTCCAGCACCTGAGAGGGAGAGGAAGCACATCTCTGAGATGGAGCCCAGTGTGGTCTACACAGTGAGTTCCAGGACAGCCAGGGCTACA